AGCCATGCCAGGTGTGCCCACCTTGTGACCCCCTTTCCTTATCACTGGAGCCTCCTGGACCCCCTTTCCTGGGCACAGGGATCCCCTGGAACCCCCATCCCACCTCTCCCAGTCTTTGTATCCCCCTTTTTTTGACACTGGGAGTCCCCTGAGCACCCGTTCCTGGACACTGGGAGTCCCCTGAGCCCCCATTCCTGGACACTGGGTCCCCATTCATCCCATTCCCGGCTCTCCCAGTTCCTCTTTCATTGATCCATGACCCCCTCAACCCCCCAAATCTCTGTGTCCCCCCAGTTCTCCACTCCCTGCGTTACCTGTCTGTGGCGGTGTCAGAACCCAGCCCGGGGGTCCCTGAGTTCATGATGATTGGGTTCCTGGATGGGATCCCCTTCGTGCGCTATGACAGCGAGCGGGGCCGGGCAGTGCCGCTGACAAAGTGGATAAAGGATGGAGCCGAGCCGGAATATTGGGATAGGATGACTGAGACCTGCAAGTGGAATGAGCACATGGATGCCTGGAACCTGGAGACACTGCGGGACCGGTACAACCAGAGCAGAGGTGAGTGGGGGCATCTGTGGGGCTGGGATGGGATCTGTGGGGCTGGGATAGATCTGTGGGTTGGGTTGTGGATCTGTGGGGCTGGGGTGTGGATCCATAGGGCCTGAATGTGGATTCACAGGGCGCCAAGGGGCTGAGTTGGGGATCCATTAGGTTGGTATGGGATATCCTGTGATCCATGGGTGTGAGTGGGGATCCACGGGGTTGGGATGGGATCTGTGGGGTTGGGTTGGGATCCATGGGTTGGGATGTGGATCCATGGGGTTAGGATGAGGCTCTGTGGGTCTCCATCAGACTCTGAGGCTCCATAGCGTTGGAATGGGGCTCTGTGGGGCTGGGACACAATTCCATGGTTCTCTGTGGGTACAATCCCCCCAGGTCTCCACACATTGTTCACAGTTCACGGCTGTGACCTCCTGTCTGACGGGAGCATCCGTGGATCCTACCGGGATGGCTACGATGGGCGGGATTTCCTCTCCTTTGACCTGGGATCCAGGAGATTCGTGGCGGCCGACAGCGCTGCTGAGATCACCAGGAGGCGCTGGGAACATGAGAACGAGGCTAAGGGTTTCACAAATTACCTGGGGCACGAATGCCCGGAATGGCTCCAGAAATACATCGGATATGGGCAGAAGGAGCTGGACCGCAAAGGTGGGAGCAGAATTCCTGTGGGAATGTGGGATTTGGGAATGGAGGATTTGGGACCATAGGAATTCCAGGGGCAGGTCTCACCCCCATCCCATTCCAGTGGGAATTCCAGGGGCAGGTCTCACCCCCATCCCATTCCAGTGGGAATTCCACGGACAGGTATCACCCCCATCCCATTCCAGTGGCAATTCCATGGACTGGTGTCACCCCCATCCCATTCCAGTGGGAATTCCACAGACAGGTCTTACCAGCATCCCATTTAAGTGGGAGATCAATGGGCAAATCTCACCCCTGTCCAATTCCCATGGAATTCCATGGGCCGATTTTAACCCCATCCCATTCCAACCTGAATTCCATTGGCAGTTCTCATCAATTTCCAGTGGGAATTCCATGGGCACATGTCTCCTCCATCTCGTTTTACTGGGAATTCCATGTCCACATCTCACCCCCATGCCATTCCAGTGGGAATTCCAAGGTTTTATGTCATCCCCATCC